TCTTAGCATTACTGACAATCTTTTCACAGGTCACTAAGTTAAAGCTATCACTTGCACACATCACTCTCACTTTGTTTTCAGATTAAACTGGTTCAACAAACAGGATTCACACGTGGACACTGAACCAGTTCTGCATGTTCTCCAACTGCCACATCATTTTTAAGAAGGGTGGCATTTATGGGAAATCATAACTCATGTTTTAACCAATGTGTCTGACTAAACAGTTCCATTGAGGAGAACCGAGTTTCATCATATTTTATTTGTTAACAAATTCTATTCTTCACACACATTGATCTCATGATCTCGTCTTGTTCCTTTATACTCAAACACAGTACTCGAACTATAATCTTAAAACTATAAACTTATAACCCTGTTATTAAGCAGAAGTGGGAAAATCTGGGGACTTGATTTGAATTCTGATTGTTGTATTTGTTTGATTTTCCTGTTATATGGTGATTGTTAATATAAATTTAAATTATATCTGTATAAGAAGAGCTCATTCATCATGTAAATGAATCAATCTTTTGAATGTAGAGAAAAGAGACACTAACACATGAAGCACACACAGCAGCCAAAATCCTCAAACACAGACTGAGAAACAGTTCAAACCTTGTATTGACTTTTTATGTTCAAACATCAACATGATAGAAAAAACTAAAGACACAGTGGAAAGTAAATTGTTGATGCATTTATAGAAAAAAAGTGTTTGTGTGAATGAGGCATGTTGTATAAAGCTGTTTGAGTGCTGAAAAAATAGAAAGGTGCTGATGAGAATCAGTCCATTCACAGTTTACCTGACCTGCTATCTGACCACTACTTTTTCATTTAGCATCTTATTTTATTTTCTTCCAAGATGGGGATAAGTTTGTCAGGAGTGTCGTGTGCGGAGGCGAGGAAGAGATGACCCACACACAGGACTCTTGGTGCAGAATGAGGAGGTTTCTTGGAAACAGAGACAACAGAAGACAAGATGGCTGGCTGAACTGAATGGACTGGCAAACTAACTGGCTGACTGAACTCAACATGCGACAAGAACAACATCAATGACACGACGGTGGACAGAAGGAAACTGAGGACTTAAATAGTCTGACTGATGATGACGATTGGAGACTGGTGAGGACACAGCTGAATATAATGACTAATGACACATGCAGTGGAACTAGAAGGTAAGGCACAGAGACAGAAGGCTGGCACAATGAAACACAAGCGTGTAGAAAATAAACTGAACATGAACAAACCTACATCACTGGGTTAACGACCCAGGAACCCTGACAAAGTTGGATAATGGAACAAGTGTCTTTACCCAAAGCAACAATGAGAAAAGCAACATTTACTCATTCTTATGCAGAACCAGTGCTGAAGAATCAACTCAAACATATCAACAGACTTTTGGGCTTATATACAAGTTCAATAACTGCAGATGAATTATAGCACGTATGCAGAACACTAAAAGCCCCGATCCTACTTTAAGATGAGATATGGAAGGTTTCAGGTATTTCCTGTTTTCATTCTACTGTGTGTGTGTGTGTGTGTGTGTGTGTGTGTGTGTGTGTGTGTGACCAGCAGATGAGTCATTGGTCTGGCTCAGTCTGTATAAATGCGTGGGCTATGAGAAAGCACAGCTCACTCATTCCACATTAGGAAAGAGTGATACTCCTGAAAGTCCGGACTCTTCATTCGTTTTTTCGATCATCACTCA